AATCATTATGTTGTTTGACTCTTTGTGACCTTGCAGTGGTGTCCACAAACTCACGCAGTCTTATTTGCCACTTATTCTGACGGGCCTTAGCAGACTTGCAGAAGCTTAAACGTGCCTGCTGCTTTTGCAGATTCCCAGCAGAGCTGCTTAGAAGACTTTAGTTTCTCTTTTCACAAGTCTAAAAATGTTGAAGTTGTTTTCCTTTGTTCACCTGCATGCGGTTTCTTTGCTTGCTAACAAGCAAAATAAGTGAATCCAACATTCCCACAATGGTGAAAAAGCCATTGTTGATTATGAATTGACCTATAAAGAATTGCTTGCCTCCAAATGAACTTTAGTCACAACATGAGTGAAAAGATGAAGACAAAAAGTATCTGGAAATCATTAATTAATCAGAGGATCAAGGAAGTGTATTTTAAGAAAGTTAGTTTCATTAGTTAAAATCAGTTTATCTGTCAACCAGATTTAAGGTAGATTACCTCCAGCTCTTGGTGTGTCAGCATGGCCATAACCTACTTTTTATAAGCATGATATTCATGCTTTAGTCTTTAAACAGTAAGTCATTGTATCCCAACATTGCAAATGGGATTATTTGTCAATGTAATTGTGCATATATACACTTCATTAAGACATTATTATTTTAATATACACATTATAAACCCTTTCCTGGATATATTATGTTTAATCACTGAACAGCACTTTGTTATCTGTGGTGTTTGAGCAGATAATTAACATTAATAAAACTAAAGTATGCAGTATCACACCCATGTTTCCTGATCAGCATTTAGGTGTAAGAACCTTTGAAGCCAAATTCTTTCTCTTTCATTTTTTCTTAGTCGACCCTTTCACTCTGTCTGCTTCTTCATTCCGTGCTCACTGGCTTTTTGTTCGACTCGTGTGCCTTGTGGTCTCCTCCTGTCAGATCTATTGTGGTAGGTCGGGTTTTGCAACAAAGCAGCTTAGCAGTAGATGTCAATTCTAGACTGTGTTTAAAAACATATTGAGACTGTTGATATGTCAATGTCTTATTAGCCTGAACTATTTTTAACAGAGATTACAGTTTTTCAGCTGCAGTAGTATGTTAATGAGTCCTGGTTGACCAGTTTACACCGTTTCAAGTGTTTTCATGGTGTTTTAGAGCTATATATGAAGAGGAAAGGTGTGGGTCTGACAAAGAAACCACTTACAGTGCATGCTCATTCCAGTGATCGTGGTGCGTCCTGGATTATCCTCCTCTCCGACTCTAATAATCTGACTATAATACACAAAGTCTCTTTCTGTCTGACTGTGTGTTTGTTTCCTTGTCTGCAAAGTCTTTCTACGCTATCAGGAGTTGGGCAACGAAACTTAGAAAACAGATAAGTCTTAGGCCCCTGAAGGCTCTTAGCCAAGGGTGGGCAATTGATTTTCCTTAAGGGAACCACATATGAAACTGGCACTGTTGTAGAGGGCCGCATCAATAAGCTTATAAAGAACTAAAATTAACACTGAGCGGAATTAAATTCAAATTATAGGTGTGGCCCTCCACGAGAATCTCAGCTTTGTCATGTGGCCTCTTGGGAAGATGTATTGCCAGCCCCTGTTCTTGGCTATGTCCTATATTATGTCATCATCATGTTGCTTAACAACCTCCTAGCAACAGGCTAAAATGACCTGATATTTGGCATTTACGCGTCTGTAAAACCTCATAGAAATACCCCATCCATTTTATTTCACAATAACGTTTACTATACAAAAGATAAATTGTGCTTAATACCTTATGATGCCATCACATTGCCTAGCAACCACCTTGCAGTGGGATAACGCGTGACCCCTTTTTAGCATATACATAACATCTACCAGTCTTATTTATTTATTTATTTTACTTTTTTTTACATAAAGGACATCAGTTTACCAACAGCAACAGGCCAACGAATGCTGAGGTGTGTTGTTGTGATTATAATTTACAGTTCAGCTCATAAATTCAGTGTTTTTCAATTCGATTTTATTTATATAGCAACAATAATCGCCTCAATGCACTTTATATTAAAAGGTAAAGACCCTACAAAATACAGAGAAAACCCCAACAATCAGTTGACCTCCTATGAGTGACGATAGTTGAAAGGAAAAACTCCCTTTTAACAGGAAGAAACATCTGGAAGAAGCAAGCTCAGGGAGAGGCGGCCCTCGGCCATGACCGGTTGGGGTGAGGTCAGGAGGACAGGACAAAAGACATGCTGTGGAAGAGAGCCAAAGATTAATAATAACTAATTATTAAATGACAAGAGCTCTATTAACACATAGTCAGTGAAAAAGAAACAGTGCATCATGGGAAATCCCCAGCAGCCTAGACCTATTGCAGTGTAACTAAGGGAGAATTCAAGGTCACCTGATCGGGGTCAGCTGAGGGACTATGTGCTTTATCACAAAGGAAAGTTTTAAGCCTAATCTTAAAAGTAGAGAGGATGTCTCCCAAATCCAAACTGGGAGCTGGTTCCACAAAAGAGGGATCTGAAAGCTGAAGGCTCTGCCTCCCGATCTACTTTTAAGTACTCTAGGAACAAGTAAGCCTGGAGTCTGAGAATGAAAAGCTCTACTGGGGTGATATGGTACTATGAGGTCTTTGAGGTAAAACGGGACCTTGCATGTGATGAGATGGATTTTAAATTCAAAATTTTATTCAATAAAGTCAATAGGAAAGTGTTTACTGAGGACATAGATCAAGTTGGCCAGGCACTTTTTTTCTCATAGGCTTCTACACAACCAGAAGTCTTTTTATAACCAGAGAGGTTGTCCCCTATGGACCATTAAAAATAATGCAGGTTTCGGGCACTTCTTACATTAGCTTCACTTTTCAGACTTGATCCACCTTTTGTCCTCTCTCTAGTATCCATCCATTCATCCAGCTTTCTTATCTAATTCAAGGCCGTGAAGTGGTTGGAGCTTATTACAAGAAAGCTACCCATCACAGGGCAACAAAGAAGTAGCTTAACACTTATTGGAATGAATGCCATGAAATTTCTGCAAAGAAATGTGTGGTTTCTGATGAAGATGACATTTTAAAATTTCCAACAGTATTAATGAGCAGGTACATGTTTGCTTACTATAGTCCCCTACCATATGTTTTGCCAGGATACTGGGCAGTGGTGCCTAGTAAGTTAACATGCACAGCCGTGCACTAACCTACAGTGTTAAAGTATGTACTAGTTTGTTAGGGTTATATGGGAATTTTGCAGTATTTTGCATGTAGCTCACAGTATTAGCGTGCAAGAAGAGCGTCACACATATCCACTAGGAAAGGAAAGGATTGTCAGTTCATTCAGAGTACTTCTGAATAATTTGATACTCTTAGGTTGCAGTAAAAGTCATCTGTTCTTTTCCATTTAGCTACATTTACATGCTCGGTGATGTAGGAGCAGCTCCCACTTATAAGTAACTAATTAATAAAAGTTACTTTATCACTTGCAAAATGTCAGGTCTGCTAACTCAGGCGCTCACTGGTCTGTTTATGACCATGCTGTAAAAAAACAAACAAACCAACACCCCCAAGTGGCCATGTCACATTTAACCCACTTACACATTATTCCATGGCTTTAATTCTCTGTTTTTAACTGTTTCCTTTGTCTTGCTGTATCCATAAAGGCCTCAATAGAGGCAAGAGGCAAACTGAGGAAAGCAGAGTCCCAGCAGCTTGTATGAGGAAGTAAAAAATTGTTCCTGTGTATATTCAAAGTTGCCCAGTGCAGTGTAAACTAGGCTGACATTGGAGGAGAGCCAGTTTTTCAATGCAGCTTTCCAAGAATGGTTGTAATGGCAACTGTGCGCCATTTGGTGTCTGGTGTGGCGAGCGCGAGGAGTGTTGCTGAGGAGCATTTTGATGATGTGTGTTGCATATTGCTGAGCTGCATCGTCAGGATGTGCGTAAGCAGAGGCGTTTGACACTGATGTGGACCTGAATGAAGGACAGGCAGAGCTGCAGGAGGAGGAGGTGCTTGCCTTGTGCCCCTGAGAAAAGTTTCTATCGATCTATAGGTAGGCTGAGAGGAGAGAAGAGGCACAGACAAGCAGAGTGGTTAAAGCAAGCAAAGCAATTGCTGTACCTGCTCATCTCTCATTCCTCTTTTTTTGGCTGGGATGTGTCTTTGTTCTTGTGTTTGAAGGTGGGTGTATCAATTCAGTTCCCACCTCCCCCTTATCCCTCCGTCTCCCACTCTGCTGCAGTGTTCTCCTTCTGGGCTGTGTAGCTGCATGCTCACACACACACACACACACACACACACACACTCGTTCCCTCACATTCTCCCCCCCCCCCTCGTCGCTTCCTCCGTCTGTGTCTGCCGCCATCAGACGCAGGGACTGATAATATCTGCTCCAACGCCCTGTCCTCCTTCCCCTGTTTTGTTTTTTTATTTTGCACTCCTTCTCTCCTGCATCTCTTCTGTTCTTAATTAATTGGACATGCACTCAGGTTTTAAACAGCATAGTCTTCTTTCTCTTCAATTTACAATTTAAAAAGTCCCCCCCAAAATGCAGTCTGGACCTCCTCTTCCCTTGAGAAGCTGCTAGTTTCTTCTGTGTGCATGTATCACCTCTCTGATCAGTATCTGTATTCACTTAGTGTCTGGACACGTCACTCTGCTCCTTCAGAGTGAGCAGCACAACAGGCTGCATGCATCATCCTTGCATCATGCTGCAGCAGAGTGCACAGTTTGGATAACTCCTCCACATCTGTGAGAAGACTGAGCTGTCTGGCTTCAGCTCAGGGCTCTTGTACAGCGTGGATATTAGCATGTGGCTCAGCCATGCCTGCCATGACTGTGCTTGTACCAGTGAGGAGGGGTGGGGGAATCAGAGAGGAACAAGGACAGGCTGTGTGAAGGGAGGAGCTCAGCTTTAAACTGCTCTGTCATTGGTTAGTCACGTGCCCTGCCTGCCTGTAAGAGTCTGCCTGATTGGCTGCTGCTCTGCATTGAGCACAGCAGCTGCAGTTGTGATGAACTACCCCTTCTCTCTCTGCCCTGGCTCTGCTTTTCCTGTCTCTACCCCTCGCATTAATAACTGTCTGGCACTCATCTGTGTGGACCAGCGTGCCACCCTGTGCCACTTCAAGGACACCTCTATCCGCTGTGTGTTTCTGCGTGAATCATGTCAAGTTAGTCAATTACTTTCTGCTCCATGGAGCTCACCGGAGTTAAAGTGACGTCTCCACTGCCTGCAATCTCCCTCCCTCCATCCTCTCCCTCTCTCTCCCTCTCTTGTATCACTTAATCAAGACATACTGTAGCTTGCCCTTTCCTGTTCACCGCTGCCTCCCTCCCTGCTACCCTATTTGTTTGCCCTCGTCTTCTCCTCTTTGGCTGTTTCGCGTCCACCCTCCCTGCCTCGTGATCCTCGTCGCCCTCCGTTTAAGCAAACTCCACACCAGGTTGTAGCTCTACAGTCACGTTCTCTCCTCAACAGGCTGGTGTTTTGTTAACGCTCCTCTGTTTTTGTAATCCACAGCAAGGCAGCAAGCAAGGACATGCAGCAGAGAGGTCAGTGAGGAGGAGGAGGAGGATGACAGCAGAAGAATAGGAAACGGACAAGGAGGGATGAGAAAGAGACTGAAGTAAGAGGAGGAAGTGGAACTCCAAAGTGCCTACTGCGAGGGTACGTCTGCCGAGTCTGCTGGATTACAGCGGGACGGTGTGTGTCTGGCCTTGAATGGAGGCTGTATTTTATCCTGACAGCCACAGAGTCATCCATCCCACATTGCTGAGCTGCAGTCCCAGCATACCCTGAGCTGAGCAGCCACTTCGTCTCATCATTACAAGGACATCTCCGTGTAAGACTGTCTGTCTTTTTTTTTGTTTTATTTTTGTTTTGTTCTTGTTTTTTGTTTTGCTCTAAAGAAATCTTTAGTTTCCTTGTCAGGCTGCCCAAATATAACTAAAGTAGAACTACAGTGAATGCCCCAGCCTGGCCATGTTGACGTGAATGTAGTGGTGATTTACAGCGGGCTGATACAGGTGAATGCACACACTCGGCGACTCTGCGATCCAAGCGACATGCCAGAGTGATGCCCTCAGATTAGTTTCCTTTTTTTCTTCCTTTTATTTTTGAGACAGAGCTGGCCTCTGCTCGCAGTCAAGCCCCTCTATATATCTCACTGCAGTGAGACTTCAGCTGCCACTTTTCCCAGGAAGAACTAATAAACATCCCCCAAAATACACCAACCAAAAGGACTCGCTGCCTATTTGCACTGAGGAGAAACCGAAAATATTTTTGCTTCTGTTTCCTCTGTGTTGTGCTGGGGGATTTTTTGTCTTGAATCACCATTAGTCACCCTTGCTCTCATCAGACAGTTTTCCGTCAGTTTGCCCACCGCCGCTGCACAGCGTCTGCGAGCGTCTCTGATGGCTGTCAGCATGACCATGGGACGAGACACCAAATGGCTGACCTTGGAAGTGTGTCGTGAGTTTCAGAGAGGCACCTGCTCGCGGTCTGACGCTGAGTGTAAGTTTGCACATCCCTCACGGAGCTGCCATGTGGAGAACGGCCGAGTCATCGCCTGCTTTGATTCGCTCAAGGTAACTGTGCTACAGACACGCTGCTCTAATACAGCTTGTTTGTTTCGACACATTCATTGTGCTTCATGTCAAGCTAGTCAATGGCTTTTGGCTCTGTGAAGTATTATATAGCTGAATGACATATAAACACATCCTGACGTACACACAAACCAGGATTTTGTGCAGTGTTTCAAATGAGTTTGCTCGTCTTTAGCAGGAAAAACACATCACGTAGCGATACGTTAGGATTTGCGTGGTCCACCCCTTAAACCTATTAAACTATGTCAGTTGGTCATAACTTTACTTAACAATATATTCTAATTTTATCTTTATAGTGTACATCTCTGTGATTCTGGGCCTGGAAAGTATAGGGATGTGTGTTATTTCAAGTCTTAGTAACATTTTTCTGTAGTTTTTAAAAAAATTGTATAATGAAGGAAAAGTGTGTTCTTTTCACGTCCCACAATGGCCTTTTTAATTCATGAGAAAAACAGCTGTAAATGACATATTTTATTTTGTCACCATTTAGCTAAGATAAGAACACGTCATCATGGTTTACTGCCTGTAAAGAGCGTCTGGCCTCCCCCTAAGGGGAAAATCACCAAGACTGTAATAAAATTCTTTTGAGCTATTTAAGTTGGGAGTTATTTACTTAACTGTAAAGTATGTCTTCGTCTATCGAATTGCCGGAAATAACAGCATAGTGCATAAACTTAATGTAAGTAAGGTAACAAAGACTCTTTCCTTTCACTGTTTGTGACAAGTTGTGGCCAAAGGCCTATTTTGAGGTACAAAAAAACCCTGTTCAGATATATATATATATATATATAAGAAAGAAAATTCAGGGCCACCAAAAGGATTTTGGCCTTTCCCCCAAAAAGGAAAACCACCGAGACTGCGATACAGAATATTTTTAACCAGTTATTCTGAGTGGCGGTTTCATTTACTCAAGACTAAAATATATTTTTATTTCACAAATGCCAAAAATATTCTGTTAAGTGAAGTAACACTGACTCAGTTTCTTATCTATTTGTACTTAACATTAGTTAGTCTCCAAAAGGCCTGGGAAGCCAGGAAAAACCTGTGATAGTGAAACACCCTGTAGTTTAGATAGTCTACTGTATGATAAAGAGGAACTGCTGACAATCATTTCCATACCTGTAATAGATTAGAGCCCAGCTGATACATTCTGCATATCTGTCTGTCTGTCAGCTTCTTGGCTGATGTTGAGCGATTACAGATGTATTAGAGACACCATATTTACCTTTTCCTACATGCTCCATTTTATATGATAACTTTATGATAATTTTTTCCCAAAGAACATAATAGAGAAAATATGCTTGGAGTAATTTAGAAATAGTCTTATTAGTGTTTGCAGCACATGCAGCAGAGTAGCATGAACAGACCGTTGTGCAGTCAGGCGGTGTCTTCACATTGAATTGCTTGTGAAAGATGTGGTAGTTTGTGAAGGATAGATCGTTTTTTAATAAAAACCCCAGCATTTACACTTTTTATCATAGCTGTGCAATTTTATACCTGTGTATTTATAAAATATCATTCAGTATTAATATCAGAATTGTTTTAATTAATAGAAATTGTCATCAGCTGCAAAACTATAATCTTGCACTAGTGATTTCCTCTGTGGCTCAGATGTCAGGGTTAATATATCTTAATATAGTTGCAATTCTTGCTTTAATATCAAAAAACAAAAAACAGTTTGTGTGTTATTGGGTTTTTTGGCTTTTTTACTTGGATACTTTTTTGGCTTTTCTTGAACTAATATCAAAGTTTAAAGTAGCAAGAGCTGAATTTTTTCGTATAATGTGGCGTTATACCTCTTTCATTCAATTTTAGGTGTAGCCTAGATTTTCACAATGAAAGCTCTGTTATGTCTGGTGACATTTGATAGTAGCTTTATATTTTAAACTGAAAATCACAAAGTAAAGGTTTTTTTTTAATTATTATTTCTGATTATGAATTACTATGTATCATTTGGCTGCCTCAAATATCACCCCCCAAATAGGCACATTAGCTAATTAGCCGTTTTACTGTCTCCATGTAAAATACTGTCTTTTTAAAAAAAAAACTTATAGTTTAATGTTACCATATTGATTTAGAGGTGAAAAAACATGTGTCTGGTTACTGTCTGGGTCATAAACCTTTCAGCCAGATTTTTTTTGGCCATGGTATAACTGGTATAACCAGGCATGATTCTTAATAACTAAATACAGATTCTGTGTTTATTTGTAGCTAGATAAACCAGGGAATGACATCTGGTTTTCCAGATATTTATTGTTTCCGCTCGGACGAGGCATAATTTCTCGTAAAGCGGCTCAGCTGATGCTCTCTGTTCCTCCACCACCTCTGATGTGGGCTAGTCGGTTGTACTGCTCCAGCATCTCTGCCGCTGCTTTCCAAACCCCCTCTCGCTCCTCTACCACAGAATCACAACACTAGCGCTGCTCGCACGCTGTGTAAAAACAGTCTGAAACGTGGTGCATTTTAGAGGAGCTACATCTCTCAATGGCCAATTATGCTAAAATCCAGAATACACTGTTGCTCCACTCGTGCGCGTGCATTCGTGTTGATCTATGCATGTTTGTCCACCAGCTTTGCCTCAGTGAAAAAGTGAGACTCGGACAAGGGGCTTTCTGTCTGAGTGCAGCTGCTGTCTCCTCGTTTATTGAGTTAGAATTTATTATTCAGCCATTTTTCTGTGTTATGTCCTCCAGAGAAGGGGGGAGTTGGAGAGGAGAGAGAGAGCGAAAGAGAGAGGGGGCCTAGCAACAGCACAGGAGTGCATACCCATTGGATAGTTTGATCTTCCTGAGTGGCACGGCTGTTTTTAACACCGAGCAACAGCCTGGCCCTGTACTGGTCTCACTGACAGGAAGAAGAGGCTGTTTGAAGCTCCAGGGTCATGTTGATAGTCTGAGGGAGAGCTGAAGCTGGTGACGAAGGTCAGATCAGATGGTTTTAACATGCAGTGCCGCCACAGAGTGTGAAACCATCTTTTCTATGCCAGTGTTTCTGTCTTCGTTGTTGTTCGGGATTGTGCTCAGCTGACAGTTGTTGCTTTCAGTCGACTGACTAGAAAAAACAAGGAAGCGTCACGCGCTGTCCCAGGCAGAGCCGCTCTACAGCATCGCTCCTTCCTCCTGCTCCCCGCCCACCCCTCCCTCCTTTGTTAATTTCATTTCTAATGGCTTCCCTCCTCATCATCCCTCCCATATCTGGCATCTCCATGCCGGCCCAAGCCGACCGCTGTCATTCTCTGTTGCTCCTCCATTAGCTCTGTCTGGTTGGTCTGAACCCACCGCCTAGTTCTTTTTACCTTGTTAACTGAAGTGCTGCTGTCATCTCAAATGATTAATGTAGGCACTGCATCTACCCACCATGCTACTTTTCAACCTAAAGATGATTCAATAGCAGTGTCACCTTTGAATGACATCATCGAAGGACTGCAGCTAACAACATTTTATGCAATTTAGATTTAGGAACTAATCTTTGTGGTCAACTAACCTAATGTGAAGCGCATGAAAATATCCAAGTTTAAAAGCCAAATTCTTCTTTGAAATCGATTTATTTTGTCCAAAAAAACCAACAATACCCCAAAATATTTGGGTGCTGCTAACACCCTTTTTATGTGTCTGAGCCAAGGTTCATGGTTCAATCAGACCCAATATAAAAGATGGACATTACCTCCTGATCTGAAAAGCAAAGCCAGTAAGGAAATTTCTTAAACTGACATTAAACTTTTTGACGGCCACCAGGTGGCCATATATATGGTTGAACAGTTCTGGGAATATTTCCCGAGGATTTCATGGGCTCAGTCACTCATTTCAGGCCACACTGAATAAAATATTAATTTCATTTTGTAAATTTTGGTCATTCTAAGTTTCACAAAGGAGGATTATCCAGGTATCCTAATCAGTTAATAAGTTGTCAATCACGAGTGTGGTTTCACTTCACTGTTATGAATTTGGATTGTAGGACTGGTGAGGACTGAGGCAGGATAACAGGAGGCAGACCAAAAGCCATTTGTTTAAGCTGATATACCAAAATTTAAATCTATGGTGAACACGCAGGAAAATTAAGAGTCACCAGGACATAGACTAAGGAGAAGGACTGGACTATTTATATACATGAGATAATAAGGGAAGTACACAACTCATAAACAAAGTAGCAAAGTCAAAAAGTCATGCAGGAGTACACAATGGTGACTGCAAAGGAAGATCAACAGACAGCAAGACAAAGACTAAAGTAAAGGATTGGACTTTTCATACACTTGAGGTAACAAGAGAGCTGAATGAAAGAGGGTAACAACACAAGAGTGATCACACAGGTGAAGCCAATCAACGACAATGGGTCAGGAGGGGAAGTTAAACTAAAAGTTTAACACAGGAAAGAGATGATCACCAAAGTAAAACAGAAAATGAATAACAGTGAAACAGGGAAATGCCAACACTGAAACACCGAGGGGACTAATAAAATATCATAAATACAAACTACAAAACTAGAATTAAAATATCACCAGAAGTGTTTCCTTACAATCCGAAGGAATGACTGAAAATTAAAGTTTAGCAATAAACAAAATAAAGAATGAAAAAACCCTGGAATGATCAAACTGAGAGTACCTCCAAAAACAAGCAAGGATCCTAAACTTAAAAATTACTCAAAACCCTGAGACCAGCTGAAAAGACCGGCCCGGGGGGTAACGACATTCGTGGTAGATATGTCCAGCTGTTTCTATTCTTTCATTTGCATGATGTTAGTGAGAACTTACACAACAAAGTAAGTAAAAACGTAAGACCAGGCCCTCATCGCATCAATGTTACCAAATACCACTATGAATGCTACACTGATATTCTAAACATAAACATAATCTAATAACGATGTCATAGTTACATCAGTAAAATGCATAGTATTTATGTTTGGTATTAATGCAGAAAAGTCTCCATGTACTCTGGTTATTCTGCAGTTACAGAGCAGTATTATTGCAGTCTTACCAGACTTAGCAAGAAACGCAATGTTGGCATTACATATGTGTTTGTATCACTGCGATATCCCTAATATTGTTATGTTGGGCCACATGAGGGACAGCTCCACCTATCTGGTGTTCTAACCTTGTGTTTATGAAGGGCAGCCAATCAGAAGACGGATTATGTTGAACTGGCAACCAATGCAAAGGCCACTCTAGCTGAGTCCAAGAATAAAAAAAAGTGGTGGAAATGAGCGTAACAGGTCGTCTTTAACTGAAAGAAAGCATCAGTTGTGTTTCATGTTAATATTGTTTACAGTGCAGTTCTGTCATTGTGTGCCACAGAGTAGAGCTGCGCTGTGATCTTTTTTTTATCGACGTACTAGCTCTCTCTTCTCTCTGCGCATCAGCAGCACACTACTGTACAAACAGGGACTTTCTCTGTGTTGTGTAGTGTGTTGCCATGGCTACCAAAAGGAGATTCCTGACCTAGTACTCTCCTCAGCACCGCTATTCATTGGCCTCTTTCTCTAACCCAGATGTCACAGCTTTCATAAAGGTTTTGTATCAAAGTTTTCTTTATTTCTTTGTGTTTCTGTCTGGATCGTGCAATGCATAACGTCAATGCACCATTAGATTCATTAATAGATACTTTTCTTTCCCTCTGAGTTGGAGCAGGCATGCTGTGCTCATGGGACTCTCTCTTCATTACAGTCTCATCCCTAAACACACAGCTCGCTGACGCAAAGCTTGCTCCGGTGTAGGCGAGAGTGTTTTTATATGCCTGTGTACCATCACGACCGGTTTTCAGGCGGCTGCGTTGCTGTGTGCTCTCGTGCTTTTTTGTCTGCTGTGTGAGGTTGTGTGAGTGGATGCTGGTGAAGAGACACTGCGGCTTCCCCCTATTTTTATAGAGTTATCCTGCTGCTAACACCCTTTTTATGTGCCCTCATCTCAGCATGTTATCCATCACAATCAGAGCCTCTGCACCATGACGTCAGCTTGTCTTCAGATTGTATTATTGTCCTCTGCTTTAGTGCTCTTGGTTTGCTCGTGATCACCTAACGCGAGGGACTTTCTGTGGGTGTGGTTTGATGACAGAGCATGTTGCCGAGGCTCAGCGGAGGTAGTTTAGCGGGTTAACGACTCATCTGCAGGAGCAGACAGATGCTGTCAGCCCAGGGGTTTAATGAAGACTGCAGTTTCTCCTCTGAGTGTGCGTTGACCTGCAGTGTTCCTGCAGCACCATCTTCACCTTCCCCACAGTCTGCCAGGGAGCAAGGACACTGCTTTAACGGCATTCTGGGCCAAATTGATTGCTTTTAGATAAATGGATCCAAATCTGATTTAGAGTTTGTCAAAAAGCCAGAAATGACAAGTAAAAAGGAGCATGAAGAATGACTTCTGATCAAAACGGGTTTTGGCCACGGCTGCTGATGCAGGATAAGATTCGCTGGTAATTTATGACTTTAATTTTTCCCAGTTTTCTGAGATGATAAATTCAAAATATCCACGTATTGTGCAGTAATGAGATTATCCTCAGTTGCATCTGTAAATCCATGGCATTGATTACAGAGTGTAGCTAGAACCAGCTGAGTTGTAGTCTCATTAGATGATCAGATTTTTAAAAAAAGAACTGGAGCTGGCATTTCGGTGTCCTGCGATGTTTATCCAATTTAATAATCTTTTAATTTCTATTCCATGATAATGCAGAGCTGTATGATATTTGGAAATGTTTGTTTTAATATAATCAACAGAAATTTTCATTTCTGTTGATTAGAAATGGCACATTAAAGAAGAAAAGTTGTGAAAATATCCAGTCACACTCTGAAAATTATGGATAAAAAGCCAGTTGTGACATCATTGTAGTATTGTAAAGAAATGAATCGAGTTTCATTCATTTATGTTTCCTTAATGACTGACTTCAAAGATTCTTTCTAGAGGCATCACAAGCAATACCACATCGCGCATCTAAATTTGGACAATTAGCATAAAAGATTATAATCTGTGAAGCACATTTACAGATATAAAATGTTTAACATAAAGGTCAAGAGTGGATTAGTGGTAAATCAGAGCTGTAGTCATTTTAAATAACTATATTATAATTTTATAATTATCAGTACTTTTGGAAATTATATTAATTCTTTGTTTTTCTACACTATATTTTACACTATGTATTTATAGTTTATTGTGGTTTTATATATGTTGATTTATGTTATGAATGTTGTAAAATGTGAATGTAAAAGCCCAACAAGGGACAAGGGTCGTGAATTAGCAACAGTTATAAACCCATCGTGCAGCACATTGGTTTCATGTGCCGTAGTGGAACTACGTTAAACTGCATTTTAATTAAATAAATAGAATTAGAATTAACCCAATATAAAGCCTTTTTAAGTTTACTTAGAGCTAAATCAACTTAGATGAAGAAGATCAATCAAAGTGCTTGTCAGATTTTAGATCATTCAGATCAGCTTATCAATTGTAAATGCTTGTTTTAAAGCAATGCATTATTTGACTTATTTACTCCTTATACAAAGCAATCTGTTGAAGTACCACTGCAGCAGTTTCAGTGAAAACCAGTGCAAAGAGTACTGGATGGTGATTCTGCACAGGAAAACAGGCTGCTTTTTCTTTATGTGCTGGCTGATCTTTGCTTTTGTAACCTACACTGCTTCTGGTGATGGCACAGGCTTGGCAAAAGCAACCCTCCCGGTAACAGTTTCTGTCCCTGGTAGGTTTGTGCCTTTTCAGGTGCTGTGGTCAGGTGTACTTGGTTTAAATCTATACACAGTGTTCTTTTTGACTGGCAGTTCGTGGTTGATTTACAATAACATGGTTCACAACATCGCTGGAAACATTGTTACCTTGAAAGAATTTTTTCATTTCTCTCACTTTAAAAATGGTATTTTCACTTCCCTTTGTTCTTATTACTAAAAGACTGATATAAAACAACTCTGGTACAGACCTACATTGCTAGAAACCCCAACGTGAACGTCCAGGTGACGTTCAATAAACTCACCCAGCAAATTTTGCAGCTTTTTTCTTAACCAAGGCTAGAATTCAAGAATAGGAAATCAGTTACAAATAAAGATGCTTATTACATAAGCTCACGTACTGATGGATGTGTCTCTGTGTTCAGTAGATTATCGTATCTATGATTTTTCTTTTTTTAAACATTTTTTTAATATATTATTAGAAAGAAAAGAAAAATCACAAACAGGAATTAATAATTAGTAAGGACTGGTTCCCAACTTTACTTTATAAATCTAGTCTGCATATATGAATTATAGGCCTATGTACAGTTAACTCATAGTTGAAATGCTTCTTGAAGATATCATGATTCTTTGCAGACCAGCTTTTTTTTGGCTGATGCTGTTCTGTATCAATTCATCTGTTATATCAAAGCCACTTTCGGCTGCTTCCTTGTCACAAGAGCTCACCACAGCAGGTAGCTCCACATGTTTGATTTGGCAGATTTTTATGCCGGATACCCTTCCTGGCACAACCCCCGGGGGACTCATATCTCTTTCCCTCTGTTATGTCAAAATGTACAAATTTGGCTTGTGAGTTTATTTTTTCCAGTAATGACTGCTTTTGCTTTTTCACTCATGCACTGCAATGTTTTTCCCTTATTTCAGAAAATAGGTTATTTTATTTTATTTTTGAGCTGATATCTTCCCGATGGAGATACTGACTCTGTCATAGAGGACGGTGAGAGTTAAGCATGTGTTATCAGCCTCCAGCTTTATCGCTTGTCACTTTAGTTTATTTTTCTGCTATGGAAAAATCCAAAGCTGGCTCAAATACAACACCTGTCGTTTCACATTGCCTCAAAAAATGACTTAATGACAAAATGAAATGATTATATCCTGAGAAATTAAAAAAAAACACCTTTGAATATTCGTCAGAACTCTTTTACAAAGCAGTTGCATTTTTCTCATGAATTATGCAGCAGAAGCTCTTCTGGGGCTTCATTAGTACTTTATTCACCAAAATTTATAAGGCATAGTCATTAGGACTCCTCTGAAAGCACACTAGATCCTTGATGTTTAGTGTAACAAATTACACTTGATTATATGGATGACTCCTCTGCTAAACTTGAATCAGTTGCTCTGATAAGAGGTGATTTTTATTTATTTAATTATTTTTGAGTGGGAGTGAGTTTTTGTTGCCTGCTTAAAGCTTCTATGCTCATCCTTCCTGTCTCCGCTCTCCTCTTCAGGGGCGTTGCACACGCGAGAACTGCAAATACCTGCACCCACCTCCGCACCTGAAAACCCAGCTGGAAATCAATGGGAGGAACAACCTGATCCAGCAGAAGGCCGCGGCAGCCATGTTGGCTCAGCAGATGCAGTTCATGCTGCCTGGAACACAACTGCAGCCCATAGTGAGCAGCCCATCCTAAACTATGACTCTACACTAATGCAGTCATCAAAACACCGTGCCGTGTGCAAGATGTGCGCTAAACAGACAACAAGGAGTAGAATAATATTTCACTCTATCAATGCTGGTTATTTCTGTCCTCTTACATACATGAAATAGGGAATAAAAAGAGCCTTTTTGTTTTTAAAAAGTGTTTGAAAGCCAAAGTTTCTTACTGTACAAGGAAAAATTTGCAGAATCTCAAGTGACATTGAAAGTCTTTTATGTATTCTGCCTGCTCAGCTTTTTTTTCATGCTTGTAGAAGTTGTTTAGGCAGCTGCATTGTTCTTATTCCTGTAAAAAGCAGTGCTGGCAGTCAAGCACTTCAAGCCTCCTATTGAAAGCTCTGCCATAAATTGTCTCTTTCTTGTTCTCTTTCTTTCAGACAACATTCCCAGTGACACCCTCTCTGGCAACGAGTCCCAGCATGGCATTCAGTCCATATCTGAGCCACATGGGCCCAGCGATGGGTTTGATGCCTGAGCTGCTGCCCAGCACTCCCCTGCTCGTCCCCGGGAGTCCTACCGGTCTGGCAGCCATGGGAAATGGCACCTCCGCACAAAAACATGTGCGCACAGACAAGCTGGAGGTATGCAGCCAGCGTGCAGTTGTTGTGTTTCTATGTTTTGTGGAAAAACGCTGAAAGGTGATTGTTGATCGGTGCTCCCACCTGCCCCGCCAGGTTTGCAGAGAATTCCAGCGCGGGAACTGCACGCGAGGTGAGAACGACTGCCGCTACGCTCACCCCCTGGAGGCGGGCATGGTGGACTGCAACGAGAACTCGGTCATTGTCTGCATGGACTATATTAAAGGCCGCTGCAGCCGAGACAAGTGCAAGTACTTCCACCCTCCAGCTCACCTGCAGGCCAGAATCAAGGCTGCACAGCACCAAGCCGGTCAAAACACCCCGTCCTCAGGCTTGGTGAGTCGTCCTCGACACTGTGTCTCTGTACTTTTTAACAAAAATAAGCATTAAAATATTCTCATGTTTTTCAGAAGAAAAACATGCGTGTAAGCCAACTGTAAAGCAAGCCAACCTCTGCCATACAGCTAAATCCATAATTTGTTGGACACGGATACAGTTTTTGTTTTGTTGCTCTGTTTAATTAATAGCACTGCTGGGTTGAATCAAGATGTAATTGAAGTTTGGACTTACAGCTTTCATTTCTAGGGGTTATACAAAAAAATTGCATCAGCTCTTTGAGAATTACAGTTTTCAGCTTTGCCACCTCCATGCTGGCCTCCTGTCTTTTTGTCAGTGCCATCGTCTCCAAACCAAAGATCATATCCGGTCTCACTATCATCTCATAAACCTCCCTTTTCACTGTTGCTGCCACAAATCACCCTGACACTCATCTCCACCCACTCCACTCTGCCTGCGCTCTCTTCTTCACATCTTTTGTGTGTTTGCTGCTTGGGATGGTTGACCCCAGGTATTTAAACTCATCCACATTCACTACCTCTGCTCCTGGCAGCTTTATCTATTCCCCCCACAAAATAAAACTTCTAGAACTTTGCAGACTTTTTTGGGCCTTTTTGTTCTTTAGTGTAACCAGTGGTTTGCATTCTCTTGATTGTACACCTTGACAGTGATACGTCTATCTTTCCGAGCAAGTTCATGACTTTGATAAATGTTGGGAAGCTGTTTTTCTTAATCGTGGAAATCATTCTGTTATCATTTGGTGTTGCTGAGCTGGCCACTGTATTCCTTCTTTTTAAGAATGGATCAGGTTGTTGATTTTTCCAGTTTTTTTTCTACGTCTCTTTGGGTCTCATATTTAAAATTAAAGTGAAGTTTTTTATGAAGTAACAAGGAAACAGGCCTCACCTGCTGATGACTGGGCTGGATTGGTACCAATCTGTTGTGGTCGAGAGAACTGAGCATAAAAACGTAGCTGTGGATTTACCGGTCTGTCTATGTTCCTGCACTCACCTGTGGTCACCTATGGTCACGAGCTCTGGGTAGGGACCAGACGAATGAGGTCAGAGATACAAGTGTCGGAAATGAGTTTCCTTTTGAAGGATGACTGGGCTCTCCTTTAGAGATAAGATAAAGAGCTGAGTCATTCGAGATGATCTCAGAGTAGAAGTGTTGCTCCTCCACCTCGAAAGGAGTCAGTTGAGGAGGTTTGGGTATCTGACTAGGATGCCTCCTTTTGAATGATTTAATGTCCTACCAGAAGGAGGCCCGGGGCAGACCGAGGACCCGCTGGAGATATTACATATCTCGGCTGGCTTGGGAAAGACTTAGTGTCCCCCTGGATGAGCTGGAAGTGTTGCCTAGGGTAATGGAAGTCCAGGTTTGTCTGTTTAGACTCCTACCCCCGTGACGTGAACCCAGATAAGCAGTATAAAATGGATGGATGGTATCTGATCTTCAATCACATCTCGATTGTTTGATTTAAAATCGACTGTAGTTGTTTATACAAAACTACAAATTATGGACCCAACTGTATCTGCTGTTTAACAGCATTTCACAAAATAGTTTGTTATTCTATGTTATTCTCTTGATTTGTGTTGCTGAAGCTACAATTTTCAGTTTATCAGGTTCTTGAAGATTATTTGAGTACAACAGTTGCTGCTTCTTCTAAAGCGTCCCTGCCAAAGATTCTTGACAGCATATGTGCTCCACACACAAAACACTTATCACTGAAATTAGTGTCCAAGTTGCAGTAAAAAACAGGACAATTCATGTCACGTCAAGTCCAGGCTGTATTACCAGCAGCAGATTTTCCTTTCCGGTGCTATATTGTTCAATGATACAATGTAAGATCATAATATCCTGCTTCAGATCGAACTGCTTCTACCATATCGTTCACTATTTTGAGTGAAGCTGCCTGTAATGACTAACGCCATCGATGTGAGTAATCTATAGTTACTGAAAGAAGATACAAATCATAAAAGTGAAAGGACTTAGAAAGATCATTTCTAGGTAATTTGGTTTTGTTTTTAGCTTGTAACATTGTTTTAACTTCAGTAAAGAAGGGGATTGCTGCTGTGTTACTTCTGTAGATCAGGTGGGGTCATTCAAACATACTCCTGCTTCAGCCACATCCCACATTAATGGCCTGTGTGTTAAGGTTTTATACCTATATATCCTGGTTATCTTCCATAGCATTTTGATGGTTCAGCACCGGCCCCATTAGAAGATGAAATGATAGAAGCCCCATTTTGCTCTTGGCCTGACCTCTGGGCTGTCCTTACATCACTTCAGTTAATCTTAGATACTGCAGTGCCCTCTTGTGGTGGTAAAAAGCATCCATGTAATCTTAATGGTAAAGTTTATATTCACCCTGAGATGACACCAGATTAATCTACTTTTGTTTTTTTTGTTCCAGGGAGAGTGTTTTCTGTACACCCATCACTACCTGTGTTGAAAGATAACCACTGCTTTCATTCATATCCTTCTCTTCATGGCCAGGGTCTGCCCCCGGGGGCTGTGCAGCCGCTACCAAAGAGGCCTGTCTTAGAGAAGAGCAACGGAGCTGCTGCCACCGTCTTCAATCCCAGCATGTTCCACTACCAGCAAGCCCTGGCTAACATGCAGCTCCAGCAACCAGCCTTTATCCCCACTGGTGAGTCTCTGGAAACCTTAGCAACACCAGTAGGAGGTCCCTTGAATTCATACACCCTCAAACCTTGAATCCAAGAAGTGGCCTGTGCACACAAACACAAAGGTGGAGAACTGTAGGACGAAGGAGTTGCTGTGTCTGTTCAGGGCTTCTGTGCTGTGTGACGCTTCTCTTCTGTTCCACTGTCTGTTGTGTTGCTTGATTCGGATTCACTCTTGCTTGGCTTGTGATGAGGCCATAGAGTCAGAGGACACAGCTTAAAGAGACAAACACATTAAAGGCCTAAACCACAAAGCCGGATTAGGTTTTTAGCAAGGTTCAGGTTTAACTTAGAGTTTTGAGTCACAAAGGTGGTTCATTAGTCACTATGGCAGCTAAAGCTGCAAACCTAACCTGCACGTAGGAAACAACCGCCTAGTCACTAACCAATTCTCAGGAAAATGCCATCATCAGTCCTGGAAAAACAGGTGGACCTTAATATCCAGGTAGGAGAAGGCCGTGCTTTAGAGAAATATAGATCCTTAAGAGCAACGTTAATGCTCATTTTTATCTAGCAAGCCGTTTTAAAGCCATTTTATTTATTTTCATTTGTTCTGCAAGGCTTAAAATCATGTCTGATCCTAAAACTGAACACTTAATACTCGTTATTACTGACTGTTCATAAAATCTGCACACCTACTGGTTTCAATTCAGTTTTTTAATTGTTCTGTCCTTGCTCTCAGACGGTTTTACACAGCCGGGGCTGCAGCTCAAAGAATAAGGTTACAAGTGTCTTGTGCAGATTTCTGAATATGTCAGATCCTCTTGAGCCTTAATGATTGAGCTTTGATAATGACAAGTCAGTTAACCTAAACATTTTCTATTGTAGCATTTTTTCCAGTCTTTTGTAGCTTTGTCTTCCTTTGTAAAATCAGCTGTTCTGCTGCCATGTTTGTGATTGGTCAGATGCTGCCAACACCACCTCTTTCATGTGAACCGGCTCCAAGATAGATTGAAGACACCTCGGGTTTACTGGTGGAGTTGATAATCACCTTCAGCTTGACTGCTGATTGTTACGTTCTCCAGGAAGTCTGGAGGGAATGCGGGGAAGTAAAAATAAAAGTGTCTGCACCAAGGAAGCAAATTTGGCACTAAAATAAAGGTTTTTAATTACAATTAAACTGAGACGACAAAGCTACTATCACCAACTAAACAGAGAAGCATAGCAAAACCTAGACGTTTGACCAATAGGATAGTACATGTGCACATACACACTTGGCATGCAGTTTTTATTCCTCGATACTTGAATGCCATTTTCTTCACTACAGCATTTAGAGATTTGAGGTGTTTGCACTTTCACTTTACCAGCAGCTTGCATCAGTGTGTTTTTGTGCGCCGGTACACATTGTGCACTAACTCCATGCTGCTTGCTTGTGCTACGTGCTCTAACCTGAACCTGTGGGCACACCTTTGTCTGCTCTCTCGTCTTAACTTTCGCTGTCATCTGTTTCTTGTTTTATGTACGTGTTTGTAAAAATGTTACCAGCCGTAGGATTGGTGTGTTAATCAGAGGCCTGCGCGACCATACAGGTGACCATGTTTCGCCCAGTTAACTATAAATTGTGTAGTTCGTACATGTGCAGTAGAATTGATTAGCAGGGATTCAAGTTCATACTTCTTGTGTTTTATGTGAAACGGTTTTCCTTTAGGGGAATGAAATTTCAAAAGCAGACAGACCTAAACCTGGAAGTGTTACATGGACGATGACTTTCTATTTGCAGCATAGTTCATGGACTATGCGTTATTTAATCAAAACCAAACTACTGGATGACCTGACAATGAGAACCGACTATTCTCCGTTGCTGAAGTCGAACACTGATTTTCTCCATCCAGTTTAACAAACAAGTCTTAAGTGCAAGTGTTTAATCATTTAAGCATTTGGATTTACATGAACTGTGCCAGCTCCGGTAGCTCAGACTGCTGGGAAAGCAGGGAGTGGAAAAAAAACCTCATCAGCTTCCTGTCAGTGTCTGTACTCACAGATTAAGGGACCTCCTTTTTTTGCTCACCACACAAGGACCCCACCTGCACCACCCTCTTTAGAGCTTCCAGAAGCTCACTTCAGTGCTGAAGTGAAGTGCCAGCTGGTTTAGAGGAAAGTTTTACAGATTTTCTTTTAAATGCACGAAACAAATGTTCACTAAACTGATGTCGGAAATATCAGAATATTGTAGTTTAACCATGGAGGATTAGACTATGTCTGAGGTCAATGCTGTTCAGGATTACATAACCGTGGAACAGCAGCAGACTGATGCAGGGTTTCTATTCAGATAGTTTAGGGATACCAACAGTGATGAGAAGCACAGACACACGATTCACTCGGTCAGTCCATCTGAACTGAAAATCTGGTAGATTAGAATCACAAAAAGTT